ACCTACCAAAATTTTCGTAAGAATTATTGTAGTAATTAACTATGTTTTCTTGTGCTCTAACTTAAAAAAAAAAGCAACAGAGTAATTTGAATATAAAAATTATAAATATATATTTTAAAACATATACTAATTTTTAATTATATTATTATCTCTATGGATTAGTTCGATGTTCGCGCGAATTTAACCAATTTAAATTGTTGTCTACAGTCGACCTTGGACCTCTTGGCTCTTTTAGACATGTATGAGGTAAATTAAGTTACGAAAGGAAGTCTTCTCGGCAATGGAATTTTTTTTGTGATTTTTGACATCAGGTTAAAAATGAAGAAGCGACCAATTAATTACTGGAAATTGATTGAGGCAAGAAGGACTTGTATAACATGTGTTATATATACGTATCAAACATAATACAAATATTTTTATCCAGAATTTTAGCGACAATCAAACGTAACCTAGATTTATAATTACGTTTATTGTTTTGCTTAAATAAGGCTTGTAAAAGTTCTATTTTGTAGAGTTTCTTGAACCTTGTTTAGCTCTTGAATTATAGCAAAATTTTGACGAGAAAGAAAAATCGTTCGATACCTAAATATATTGGGATATTTTTGAACAGGGATATTATAAAAGATGTATTTTTGAAATTCTCCAATTTTTATTCCAAATTGACACTCGTGTCACTTGTTAATTTTTTATTTAAATATATACTATAAATTAATACCTTAAGATATTAAATATACATCAACATTTTCATTAGTATTTTATTTTCGCAAGGAATCATAATAATAGAGACGATTTTCGCAAGGAATCATAATAATAGAGACAACAATGTGAACTAACTCTCCCGTAAACTATTCTCCTTCTTTTTTTTCTTTCTTTTGTGCAATCTATTACTCTCAACATTTATCCAAATAATCTTCTTGTTTGGAAATCAAAGAAAATCTTGTTTTTACAATCCTATCATCAAACAATCCGATCCTTCACGTGCTTCTATTTGCGTCCCCTATTTGCTTGGGACTAGATGATATGTTTCTAATTTATCTTCACCCCAACCCAATCAAACCACATCCACTTGGCACTTCTGAGCTGTCCCTTCCCACATTGTCTTACCCAATAATAGTGGACTCTTCATAAATTTTTACATTTACATTTTCACCTCACTACTTCTCCCTTATTTCTTTAACCCCCTCATTTCTTTCAATTTCTCTACTAGCCCCATTAAAAATCGAATTCTTTTTGAAAAGTAGACAAAAAAATATAAATAACGATTATTCTAAAATTACATATATTTTTTTTACAAACGATCAGGTTTAGAACTATTCAGATGTAACTTTCAAACGATATGCAACTTTCGGATGTAAAAAATGGTTTAAGAAACGATAAACAAATGAATGTGGAGAATCAATCAAAATGTTGAGTGTAGAATTGTAGATGCACATCTAGATTTTAAAAATATGGACGGCTTTAACAAATGATAATTGACTCTTAACAAATATTATATTTTCATTTTCACCCCACTATTTCTATCTTATTTCTTTAACTGCCTCATTTCTTATAATTGACCCCACTAGCCCATAAAAAAACTAAAAATCACTATTTTAAAACTTTTTGAAAAGTGTACAAAAATTAATTAATAATTAATTACGACACTAATTGAGTTTTCCCCTTTATATACACCACCATCAAATCTCTCTATCTCAATCAAAACAATTGTCTACATTCATCTTCTTCTTCAAACAAAAAATGGGTTTCTTAAAGTTATCTCCGATGATCCTTCTCCTAGCAATGATCGGCGTTTCATATGCCATCGACATGTCAATCATCTCCTACGACGAAAACCACCACATCTCCACCGTGTCAAGCCGTAGCGACGCGGAGGTTGAGAGAATCTACGAAGCGTGGATGGTGGAACACGGGAAGAAGAAGATGAACCAAAACGGTCTTGGTGCAGAGAAAGATCAGAGGTTTGAGATCTTTAAAGATAATCTTCGTTACATCGATGAACATAACACCAAAAACCTCAGTTATAAACTTGGTTTAACCCGGTTTGCTGATTTAACCAATGATGAGTACCGATCTATGTACCTTGGTGCTAAACCGGTAAAGAGAGTTTTGAAAACCAGTGATCGGTATGAAGCGCGTGTTGGTGACGCGCTTCCTGATTCTGTTGACTGGAGGAAAGAAGGTGCCGTCGCCGATGTTAAAGATCAAGGAAGCTGTGGTAAGAATAAAATCTTTTTGTTTTGATTTTATTATTTTTTAAATTTAAAAAATAAAAAAATCGTAAATTTCGAATCTGAAAAAATCCCACAAATTCCTGAATTTTTTAACGGATTAATCAGTTTTTATTTCGAGTATTGAAATGGGTTTTTGTAAAAATTATAGAAAAATCTTGGATTGTTTCATAAATCTTTTTTTTTTTAATTGATAAATATTTTCAGACATATCTTGAAACTTGTCTGGGGAATGATGAGTTTGGTCTGAAGTGTTGACTTTTACTTTTAGGTGTACGTTTCGAAAAGCCAACATGGTTTTGAATTTTTGGAGATGAATAATTATTATGGTTAATAAATCAAGAGAAAGTCACAAACTGTTGATGATATTTTGTGTTTATACAACAAAATCAAATGTTGTATTTTAGGTGCACGTTTCGCAAAACGAATATTTTGAATAAATGTGTTCAAATCTGAGAAAATTGATGATTTATTGTCTTTAAACTTTAAAGTGGTAGTGGGAAACAATATGGACCCATTACGAGATTTGCTTTTTTCAAGAATTTAAAGGAATGGTAGGGACGATGATTTGGTATGTGTTAGTGTTAGATTGTGACAATTTTGATTGATAATAACAACTAATCTTCTTGTTCTTTAGGGAGTTGTTGGGCATTTTCAACTATTGGAGCAGTGGAAGGAATAAACAAGATTGTGACAGGAGATTTAATTTCGTTGTCTGAACAAGAATTGGTTGATTGTGACACATCTTATAACCAAGGTTGTAATGGTGGTTTGATGGACTATGCGTTTGAGTTTATTATCAAAAATGGCGGTATTGATACCGAAGCGGATTATCCTTACAAGGCTGCTGATGGACGTTGTGACCAGAACAGGGTTAGTTTAGTTTAGTTTATGAAATGACACTCAAAACAATGCGGTTTGAAATTGAAACTTACTTTGTTTTGTTATGTTTGCAGAAAAATGCTAAGGTTGTTACCATTGATTCGTATGAAGATGTGCCTGAGAACAGCGAGGCGTCTCTAAAGAAAGCTTTGGCTCACCAGCCCATTAGTGTCGCCATTGAAGCTGGTGGTCGCGCTTTCCAGCTCTATTCTTCGGTATGAATTGTTCAAAAAACTGCTAGACAACCATTTGCACTATCTTGATTTCAAGATGTTAAAATGTTGGTTGGTTATTTTGTGTTCAGGGTGTGTTTGATGGAATCTGTGGCACGGAGTTAGACCACGGAGTTGTAGCTGTCGGTTACGGAACCGAGAACGGAAAGGACTACTGGATTGTGAGAAACTCATGGGGAAACAGATGGGGAGAGAGCGGATACATAAAGATGGCACGTAACATTGCAGAGCCCACTGGGAAGTGTGGAATCGCGATGGAGGCTTCGTATCCGATCAAGAAAGGTCAGAACCCACCAAACCCTGGCCCGTCACCGCCATCTCCCATTAAGCCACCAACCACGTGTGACAAATATTTCTCTTGCCCTGAGAGCAACACTTGTTGTTGTCTCTACAAGTATGGTAAGTACTGCTTCGGTTGGGGATGTTGCCCGCTCGAATCTGCTACTTGCTGCGATGATCACTCAAGTTGCTGTCCTCATGAGTACCCGGTTTGTGACATTAACCGTGGAACCTGTTTAATGGTAAGTTTCTTCGTATCTCTATTGGTATCAAGAGCATTTTGATGGGAATGTTTACTGATTTTGAACTGTTGTGATTTGGCAGAGCAAGAACAGTCCGTTGAGCGTGAAGGCTCTCAAGCGTACACCCGCAATACCGTTCTGGGCAAAGAGCAGAAAGCACATTGCGTAAGAGAAAGAAGGAAAAACATTGAGAATTCATCAAAAGCATTTTATGTTGTTGTTCAGATTTAAAAATTGCTGATTCTGCTGCTGAGGTTTTCTGTACATATAAAATCTCTCCCTAAGTTTCATTCAGTTTCATCATTGTTAAAGTAACAAACTCACAAACAAATGGGTTTGGTTATTAATCTCTTTCAACTTTGCTATTTATCGGTCTATAATTGATAAATTTCATTTTCCATACTTGAGTATAAATTTCTCAACTCACAAATTACCAACTAGGAATATCTTTGATTTTCTTACCTGAAAGTACAAAAGCATCAAGTGTAAGAGAAAACAAAGGCAAACAAATATAGAAAAGATAATAATTCAGAGCTACATCTTTAGGACCATTGATCTTCCCTTTTTTAGTGAACTCAAACAAATGGCACTTGGATACTTCTGCTGGAGCTAGTGGTATATATTCCATCAGAGAAAGAATGCCCTCTAAAACAATGGCTTCATATCTCCGATGTGGGGTGGTGTGATAAGGACTCTGAAAGCCCACATAGGAACACGATATCGCCTCAGAATCTCGAGCATATAGTTGAAGCATTCTTAAGGCAAGTACGACAACTATGTGGCTTTAAGTCTGAAGCCATTTATACCAGTGGATTGGGCACGTCAAGAGTTAACCTAGTGAAAGAGGCTTTACAGAGTGGGAATTGTATGTCTTGTCGCGGAAACACTGTTTCAATCTCCATTCTTGTTCAACAACCCTCAGTCTAATGCTTCTCTGGGAAAATACAGTTCTTCAGCCAGTTCATCAAGAGAAGCAACGTCCCTAGCCGAGAATGCCTTCTCCCATCCATCCATCATGTCTGTCAGCTAATTCTCTTATGAACATAGGTTTGCAGTGTCATCATTACATGTTTTTCCTGCTCGAGGTAGGACACGTTGTCCTTGCATCATGCTACAAAAATGGAAAAAATACAAACAAGAGAAGGCAAAGTACTTGACATGGCTAACCAGAAAGAAGAAGGCCTAGGACTCTTTAGCATACTACAGACTCTCTCTAACTTTGAAGTTTTTGGTTGCTTGAATACAAAATTATGATAACAATATTACACTTGAAGGAGAAAAAACATGTAATGGAGTTCTCGAAGTATTCCAAAAAGCTATTTTAATCTCTACATTTACGCTTTGGATCTCTGGTAAACACTTAGCTAGCTAGCTTGAATGCGTCAATGAATAGACCATAAGTGAAACCCATCTTGAAATTATTAAGCAGAGCAATCGGAAATGTCACCGTGGTACGGCTATAATAAAATCTTGTCACATACTCTGTCAAAAGAACACACAAAACCGCAGCGATAACATCGTTCACTCCCAAAGCTCCAAACGACAAAGAGATAGTCTGCGCAACATAAAACCCACCTAACAACGAGATTCCTCCGAAAAGCGTCCTTCTTGAAGGCTTCTTGAAGTAATTCCTAGAGATTTCAGGAACCGATCTTATAATGTCGATCAATCTTCTTGGAGTTGGACCTTCAGTCTCTTGCAAAGCTCTAATGCTTCTTGCAAATCTCCTCTTACATTTAAATGGCGACGACACCAAAGTTCCGTAACTCGTCCACTGATGATGATGATTAAGGACTAAACTGTTCAAGTTGGTCGAAATGAAACTCGAAGAATGTGCCATCCTGAAACTGAATGCAACAGTAAAATTCAAATCTAAAACTACTTAAGAAACGTGAGTAGTGCAAAGCAAACGCCAAAGGAATTATCAACAGAAGCTAATTGAAAAATCTATTTATTCAAGGAGAACAAGATCTTCAAGTAATTCCAACTAGAAGAGACCACAATACAATCAAAATGAAAAAAAATCCCCAGAAATTAGGGTTTCCAGCTAACTGCAATCAACTCTCATTTCCCATACAGTGAATTTCGATTCCCGATCAAAAAGTTTCGGGAGTTACCAGCAGAAGGAAGATCGAAGAAGACCAGAGCGAGAAGAAGAAAGCCGTTTTTTTTTCTTATCAAATCTGGAGTTAAGCAGAGAAGGAAGGAGATGAAAGGGAAGTGGAAGGTTTTCAAAAAAAAAAAAAAAAAAAAAAAAAAAAAAAAAAAAAAGAAAGGGAAGTGGAAGAAGGGAAGGCCCATTATGCTGCAAAGCCCATTATCAAGTCTGAATTGGAGAAGGAAAAAGATTAAGAGCATCTCCAATGGGGGTTTTCTTCAAAAATGTGTTGGGTTCTCTTGTTTAATTGCAAAAAAAATAAATGAAAACTGGTAATAATAGAGAGAATCGGCTTTCTAGACAGAGTTTTGGGAACTAGAGAGAGCCGCATACGTGGCACGACTTGATTGGCTGATGATTTTTCCAAAAACAAAAAAAAAAAAAACACGGCAAAAGCTTTCTCTTCTAGGCGTCACCCTCTTTCTCTCCCCGCCGGCGATTTTGTAGCTTTTCTCACAATCTCTTCTTCTTCGAACAATGATTAATAGTTATTACGATGAAGAAGAAGAGAAAAGTTTGTTACAGATATTTGTAAATGATTTTCTCATTATTGATTAATGATTACAGTTCAAGTGTATTTATAGTATACAACTATACAGCTATACAATCGGTTAAGTTAAACCAACTAAGTAAACCTACTAAACCAATATACATAATCTGATATGCCCCCTCAAGATGAGCATTCAAAGATGTTAAGAATGTTCATCTTGGATTTCAGATGCTCGAATTGATGGGGAAACAATGGTTTAGTCAAAATATCAGCTACTTGATCATCAGTTCTCACATGAAGTAGCTTAAGCTGGCCATCATCCAATCTTTCTCTCACTGTATGACAATCTATCTCAATATGTTTAGTCCTTTCATGAAAGACTGGATTTGTGGCAATGTATATGGCTGCAGTACTGTCTGAAAATAGAATAGGCACCGTTGGAGAAGTCTTCAAAGATGTAAGAAGAGTGTATAACCAAACTATCTCACACGTTGCCAAAGCTAAAGCTCTGTACTCAGCTTCTGCAGAGGACCTGGATACTGTATGTTGTTTCTTTGACCGCCAAGATATCAAAGAATCCCCCACAAACATTGAAAAACCAGTAGTAGAACGGCGACTATCAGAACAGGAAGCCCAGTCTGAATCTGCAAACCCTTTTAGTGTAAGATCAGGGGAAGCAGAGTAAAACAAACCTTGACCTACTGTTCCTTTGATATATTGCAAAACTCTGTAAGCTCCAGCAAGATGAGTAGTTCGTGGAGCAGAAGAGAATTGACACAGCTTATTTACTGCAAAAGTGATATCTGGCCTTGTTATTGTCAGATACATCAACTTGCCAACAATTCTGCGATATTGCTCTTTATCTTCTAGCAAATCACCATCATCTTTCATCATTTTCACATTAGGAATCATTGGTACTGAAACCGGCTTACAACCAAGCATACCAGTAGACTGCAACAACTCTAAAGCATACTTTCTCTGGCATAAAAGAATCTCTGCAGTCGTTCTAGCAACCTCAAGCCCCAAAAAATACTTCAAATCACCAAGATCTCTCAATTTAAATCTCAGTGTCAAGTCATTAGTCAATTGTGTTGCAGCAGCCTCACTTGTGCTTGCAATCACAATATCATCAACATATACCAAGACAATAACAAATTCACCTTCATACTCTTTGAGAAACAAAGTATGATCTCCATGTGTTTTCTAAAAACCCAAACTGAGTAAGGAAGCAGAAAATTTCTTGAACCACTGTCTGGAAGCCTGTTTAAGACCATAAAGGGATCTTTTCAGTCTACAAACAGCATTAGATGGTAGTTGAATACCTTTTCTTGCTGCATATCCTTCAGGTAATTTCATGAATATCTCTTCTTCCAATTCTCCATTCAAAAACGCATTAGACACATCCAACTGCTTTAAAAACTATTTCTTGGAAGCTGAAACTTTCAACAAAAACTTAATTGTGGTCATCTTAGCAACAGGAGAAAATGTGTCAGTATAATCCAAACCTTCTTTCTGTGTATAACCTTTAGCAACCAGTCTAGCTTTATACCGTTCAAGACTACCATCAGCCAAAAATTTCAATGTGAATACCCATTTACAACCTACTGCTTCTTCCCTGGTGGTAATGTTGTAATCTCCCAAGTGTTAGTAGACTCCATAGCACCAATCTCAGCATCGACTGCCTCACACCATTCCTTGGTGTCCTGTGCCTCAGCATAATTGCTGGGAATAGGAATTTTTGTGATATTATTGATATAACACATATGAGATGGAGAAATTTTAGAATAAGAAAGAGTAGATGAAATAGGATATTTAAGATTAGACTGTATATTGTTGCAGTCATAATCATTCAGATGAGCAAGTGGTTTCCTTACTCTCTGAGAAGAAATTTGTGGTGGTAGATCAGAAGTTTGTGATGGAAGAGAAGAGAGAGAATGATGATTATCACCTGAGGACACATGAACCAGTGGTGTAAACAACTCCAAAGGGCTCTGTGAATGTGGATTCTTAGCCAAGGGAAACACTTCTTCATGGAAAATCACATTCCTGGAGATAAACACTGTATTGCTCTCTAAATCCATTAACTTGTAGCCTTTATAACCAGCAGGATACCCGAGAAACAGACAAGCTCTTGATCTTGGTTGAAACTTATGTCTCTGTTTCGGAGAAGTAGAACTGTAACACAAACATCCAAAAGTACGAAGCTGCTCATAATGAGGAACAGTACCAGTGAGGATCTCATATTGTTGGTGTCGGATCCCGCACCAGAAGTACGAGACCAACCAAAGATTGCCACGTAGTCAAGATAATGGCCCATAAAGGATGAAGCCCATCGGACCCATGAGCCGAAGGAACGGTCGAAGTGGTTGTCACCACTTCGAGAGTCCGAAGTGACTGCATTGTGACATGAGTTCGATGTAGAAGACACGGGTAAGACGGTTCAAGGACGCTTGGGCCGAAAAGGCGAGGCCCACGAAGATCAGAGTCAACTCAAATTCAAACGTTGAGCATTAAAGTCAAGGAATCAAAACGGACACATTTAAGAAGGAATAATTGTACTTAATTACTCATTTTAATGTCGTTTCTCTAAGTATAAATATAAAGGCCAATGGCCATGTAAAGGGATCTTCTTCTCAAGAAAGAAATACTATAGCAATTTTCGTAGCAATTTAGAAGTTTTTTACCTATTCATTTTTTGTCCCTCAAGAATAATCTTTCCTACTTAATAAAATACTTGAGTGTGTGAATCCGACATCCACATTTTGGCGCCGTCTGTGGGGAGAATTAGGATTCTTGAGTGGTCAGATTTTTTCTTTACTACACTTCCGAGATAAGCAACAATGTCCAGAGAAGACACCGTTGAGACATCATTGGCCGAAACCCTCAAAGCTATGCAGCAAACCATGTCGGACATATCACAAAAGTTCTCGGATGTGGAAAAGGCCGTCGATACGTTGCAAACATCCCAGGTATCTCTTAGTCAAAACGTCAATACTATACAAACTCGTGTTCGCTCTTTAAGTGCAGGAAACCTTGTGGGAATCCGAAGAGGGATATTCAACTCGCCAAGTTCCGCTACACGAAATGAAACCAGCGGACAAACAACTCCCGGTGCTACTAATAATGTAGCTCAGACGTTGGAAGAAGAGACACAGCTCGGGGATGAAGAACAACTTGCAGCTCAGTACGAGCAGGAGAACCTCGACCAGTTCGAGACCATGAGGAAGGTTAGCCAGGAATTAAAAGAAATGAAATCAAAATTTCATCAAGCTACAAGTTCGGAGCCAGACATCAATCGAGTCATTGAAGAAGCTAGGCGAACACCTTTCATCTCGCGAATTGCGAGTCTGAGGATCAAAGATTCCTGGAAACTCAAGTTGGACCCTTACAGCGGATTGGAGGATCCAAAAAGCTATCTCGCAGCTTTTCTGATCGCTGCTGGAAGAGTCGAATTGGATGAAGCTGATGAGGACGCAGGCTACTGCAAGCTTTTTTCGGAGAATCTATGTGGCCAAGCTCTAATGTGGTTCACCCAATTAGAGCCGGGTTCGATCAGCAATTTCGACGAACTATCAGCTGTATTCTTAAAGCAATACTCCATCCTTATGGATAAAAGTGTTTCGGATGCCGATCTTTGGAACTTATCGCAAGGATCTAATGAGTCACTTCGAGTTTTCATCACCAAATTCAAAGGAGTGCTGTCAAAACTCCCAAGAATCTCACAGCAATCAGCTTTATCTGCCCTACGAAAAGGATTGCGACATGATTCAAGGTTTAAAGAAGATTTAATACTTCATAAACCAGACACAATTCAGGATGCACTCTTCCGCGCGAACAACTGGATGGAGGTAGAGGACGAAAAAGAAAGTTTTGCCAAAAGGAATAAACAAGAAAAGCCGGCAATCACCGTCCCTACCAAGAAGTTCGAACCTAGGGAGAGCAAAGGACCAAGGAAGTTTGGGTCGCAACCCTTCAACAGTACCGTCGGAAAGCAATTCCAAGGGAAAGGAAGATCACACACTTGGGTCCGTGATGAAAGTCTATATTGCGATATTCATAAAGTAACCGGGCATTTAACCGAGGATTGCAGCGTTCTTAAAAAGCACCTCGCAGAGCTTTGGGCTAGTGGAGATCTTTCCAAATTCGATATAAAAGATTTTGTGA